TACAGTAATTGTCATCTTTGATAATGGCTTATGTATATTGTGATTTTCTTTCTCCGTTTGATGATAATGTTATTAAACTTATCAGACGATATGAAAAGAATTTACATAAAATAAATAGACAACACTTGTCTATATTATTTAATGTAACATATATATATATATATATATATATATATATATATATATATATATATATTAAGTCATCATCAGGTAGAGAGAATCAGGGAGTTTTGTAAAATAAGTGCTGTGACGTAAGCTAGGTGTAACGTGTGAGTGTATTTAAATTTAAATTTTTATATTTTTTATATACATTTAAGGATGCTAGCTCTTAAGTTATAATTGTTTTTATTCATTGATGGTTGTTTTTGTTGTACGATTATTGTCTTGATGCTATATCTGTTTTTACTATTTGATTTTACTAGTATTTTGGTATTGTTTGTGAGTATCTGTCTGAGTTTACAATGATCCTTATGCGGTTAACGTGATGTCTTATGGCACTCTGGTTTGATATGTGGCAGGTATGACTCCGCGGGAGTGTGGTTAGGTTGTAGCCTATTTAAGACGTTTATTATATATATATATATATATATATATATATATATATATATAGAGAGAGAGAGAGAGAGAAACATTCTCCGAATGGGCAATATTTTCATAGACAACATTGGTCTTATCTATTCTGATCAATGAGACTTAATAAAATCCCAAGCGTGGACCATATTTTTTCTTCCGAAATAATCTTTGGAGAATTTCAGACGGAATTTTCTCATTATCTGAGATGGATTACTCGTAATTTGGAAAAGTTGATAATTAAAATTAATTTGAGAAATATATATATATATATATATATATATATATATATATATATATATATATATATATATATGTATGTATGTATATACAAGTATAGAATTGGTGTATACGGAATAAATTCCAATAGCCAAAATACGATTCTTAAAAAGAGTGCTCAATACAGAGTAGAGCAAATATAATTTATTCGAAAATTATACCATAAATTTGCTATAAAATCACTACAAAATAGCCATTTTGTTTCAACACTTTTGGTGTATTATCATGTGATGGTGTTGAATGTAGAACACCAAAAGTATTGAATGATAAAACACGAAAAGTGTTAAAACAAAATTGCTATTTTTGTAGTGATTTTATAACAGATTTATGTTACAATTTTAGAATAAATTATATATATATATATATATATATATATATATATATATATATATATATATATATATATAAATTTAATAAAACTAATATATCCACCACAGATCCTAGTAAAAAAATAAAATTAATTATATACTACATTAAATCTACTATATCTAACACAATCATTCGTAATGACTCTCCCTCGCTCACTAACGTGATGCAGAAAACCAACATTTTTAATAAATTTAAATGTCCTCTGGGAGATTTTATCTCCCATGGTAAAATAATGTACATGGTAAAATAATGTTGGGTACACTACAACAAGGTTGTCTCGGTGGCTAAGTTTTTATTTGATTAATATGTCTGACATTTCTAAACATTTACAACATCATACCAGTCCACATTCGCAATTCAAAAAATCCTTGTTGAAAAATACCTCTGTACTTTTTCACGAAAATAATAAACATAAACTAAAAATTCTCTAAGCTATCTATATTAAAAATTAAACCAAACCTTAATAAAAGTAATTAAAAATACGCGACAAATGTTTTAAAATGTGTATAATATATAGTTTGAAATTCCAAGGTTTGCCCTAATATTTTCTCTTTTACTACTCATTTGGTAAAAAAATATCTCCAACCCATACTTAGTTACCCCACTTTAAACTGTTTCAGCGGTCACACACTAACGCAGCGTTCCTCACTCCATTTGTAAGAAATTTAACTTTCAAATAACGCAACAATTTGTCTTTGGCATTAATAAATGCTATACATATTTATTTTGTAATAAACGATGCCCTGATGATGACATTGATATGATTTAAATCATTAACCTCTATATTTGTTTTTTGTATAAATGATTCATGAATTTATAAATTATAATTGCACCTTTAATTGAAATATATATATATATATATATATATATATATTATGTGTGTGTTTGTGTGTGTTCATATTTAGGCTAAAATCTTCATTCAAAAATGTTTCACTGAATAATATAGACATATTTGTGTATTGGTACCACCTATAGGCTATGCTTGGAGGAAAAAATTAGGATAATAAAATACAAAAATAAACGCAAACTATTAAATCAACGGAAAGAGCTAATTACGAAATGTAGACATAAGAACAGGTTCAAAATTACATAAGAATATATGTATATGTATATGTGTATGTGCGTATGGTTACTTATATACATGTATGTGGGTACACATAGGTTTATGCATATGTAAACACACAGACACTTGTATGTGGACACATGTACGTGTATGTGTGTTGGATAGCATGACCTATTCAATGAAATGTCCTGGTATTACCCAGAATTTATGAATCCATCATTCAAATGGTTTACAGAAATTTAATTGGTCCTAAGGTTAAATCCGCCATAACTTATTAATAACATTAAACGTTTACGGTCTAAATACTATGTACCGTAAATCCCCTGAAAAAAAAACACACTTGCTGTTAGCATACGATTGAAATTTAGTTGCAAATTAATTACAGACAACGAAAGGCACTAGCCATAAATAAACTCCAACCCCTGAATACTGCCCCCGTAATGAGATACCTCAGCCCCACCCAAGTCGCCAACACAAGCTCTTTATTATAAACAAGGTGTTTCTCGGAGGAGAACTGAAAATAAATTTTAATCCCTTCCTTCCGGACAAACACTTAAGAGCTGAAGACAGCTGAGTTAAGGTCAGCCAGAAATAGACTATTCTCATGCTGAGGTAATTTTGTTTTTTTAACGTTATATATATATATATATATATATATATATATATATATATATATATAGAGAGAGAGAGAGAGAGAGAGATAGAGAGAGATAAACCTAGTGAGCCAGACAAACCTGCCCAGGTTTCATCTAAGCGGCTCGTCAGGGAAAGCCAGCTGACGATCCGCTTAGGTGAAACCTGGGTAGGATTGCCAAACTCACTAGGTTTATCTAGGTCTGCTCTACGGTTGTATTGAGCTCTTTTTAGTTAGTTGTTTACTCGTGTCGGTTTTTTTTCTTTGGGCTTTAAACCTGTATTTGTGCGATTTTTTCGACAGACTTTCATGTTTCTAGCTCTTTCTTTTTTTAAAAGCTTTTTTCCTTTGAATGATTTGATTATTAGCAAATCAAAAATTCGAGGTCTTTTCGAAACGAGTATAGTTATCTATCTATCTATCTATCTATCTATCTATCTATATATATATATATATATATATATGTATTATGGATCTCTCGTTAATGCCTATACTCTGACGGTGTGAAAAAAAACCGGATAATACAATTTGTAAATAAAAATATATTTGAACAAATCAATATCAGGGGAAAAAAATCAGTTAAAAATGAAAAGATTAAAGACATATCTGTTGAACGAAAATAATCGATCACCACCGTAATGACTAATCAAAAGAAAAACACCAACAAAGTAAATTAAGTAAAAACGTAAAAGAGCTCAATATACTAAGAAGAGAAAAATTTTAAAAAAAAACAAAAAAAAAAGGAAAAAAAATACTAGGTAGCTACGACCTACCTATCTAGATTTCATCGTCAGGGTAAAACTGGACAGTTTTACCCTGAAGACACGTTTAGGTGAAACCTTGATAGGTAGGTTCTGGCTCCAAGTTTATATATATATATATATATATATATATATATATATATATATATATACTGTATTTCCTGAAGTAAGTTTCGAAAAGTTGCCGTGCAATGGTTAGTGTTTTCCAGGCCTATGCTAACCCGAGAGGAAGGTTATCTATGCCAAACAGTAAACTGAATTCTTTATTATACATATTTTCGAGACTTATTTCAGGTCCTTGGCGCAGAAAAATAAGGTATATACCTGCATCGCAATAGAACGATATTAGAATCGCCTCACAACCAAAATCGATCCTTGCTGATTGTGTTCAACAGTTTCACTGTGCTGTATTATACTAGCTTAATATATAACTAATAGTTCCAGTATATATGTGTATGTATGTGTGTGACTAGTTGATTTGTTTTTATGTCTTATTACTGTTTATTAATTAAAGACAAACAATATTAAAAAATTGTAAGAATTATTTGGTGATAAGTCCTATGTATTTGTAAATATTTCGAAAGATACATGATCGCTTAAGTGTGTATTATGTATGGCACATAACTGACTGACTGTAAATTGTATTAAATTTCTTCACATTACAAAGATGAAAAATACAGTAAAAAAAAAAAAGAAAAGAAAAAGGGATCTGCAAGGTTAATTATCATATTTGCTGGCAGTTTTTTTTTCCTGAAATAAGTCTTGAAAATTTGCCGTGCATTGGTAAGGGTTTTCCCACGCGTTTGCTAACCCCAGAGGAAGGTTATTTATGCAAGATTGTAAAATGAATTCCTATATGTTATGCAAATATTAGAGACTTATTTCAGATCCTTGACGCAGACAAATGAGGTATATACTTGCATCACAATAGAACGATATAAGGATCGCCTCACAACCAAAATCGATCCTTGCTGATTGTGTTCGACAGTTTCACTGTTCTATATTATACTAGCTTAATATATAACTAATAGATCCAGTATATGTGTATGTATGTGTGTGATTGGTTGATTTGTTTTTACGTCTTATTAACATTCATTAATTCAAGACAAACAATATTTAAAAACTGTAAGAATTATTTAGCAATAATAATGGCTTACCAATACAAGTCCTACTAATTAACCCATAGCTGGAGGGAAGAGGCCGTTTCAGACTTTTCACAAAGGTATTTGAACGTAATTGAATATAACGAACACCTTGAATTCGAACTCGGCTCTCCGACTTCCAGTGCCGTGCGATTATACTTTACACCAACCGCACATCCAAG